TTGGCTACATGGCTACGAGTATTCGCCGACGGTAGCCATTTTTGTTTCTGCCCTGCTTTGACATTTTTACTATTTTTCACATTCGTATTTTCGTACATATGTTTCGTTCGTTGGTTGGGTACGTTCGTTCGTTTGTAGTTCGTTAATTCGCTAGTTTGTAATTTTTCGTCTGACTCGCTATTGTGTGAACTTCTCGCTGTCGTCGTCGTTGCCTGCATATATATTTACATCTGCTATTGGCGTACTTTGTTGTTGTGTTTCGTATTCTGCCAGCTGCTGTATTATCGGCCGGTTATTTTTAATCGATTAGTTGTGTAGTTTTCTTTTTTTATCGATAGCCACAGGGTCGTACGAAGAATAACATAGTTCGGTGATAGACATTTAAATGAGTTAATCTGAAAGTATCATTAGAAAAAAAAAACATTTGTAGCGGGATTTATGTTATCAATTCTTCAAATAAATGTCCTTGGATTGTGTGATGGTGTCTGCAATAATGGGTATGACCTCAACATTGTTCGCGAAGTGTGAGTGTTTAAATATTACAATAACCTTAAAATGTTGTACATGTCTATTATGTAGAGTACATAGTTCTATATTAATTATATACATAAGTACATATATATTAGGTTATACGCTTTAGTCTTTTTCGAGTTTACAAAAAATCTGATGTTTTACCTTGTTATTTGCCATTCACAGATGTCCGCCGGCGCTCAATTGCAGATGGCACCCCAGACTACATCGTCGATAAGCCATCATCATCAAACACAGCAGCAACATCATTACGGCACAGCACTTCATAACCCACAACAGCAGCAACAACAACAAATATTAACTCAACAAATAACGCAAACACAGCAGTTACAACAGTTGCAACAGCAGCATATAACTCATCATACGGCACAGCAGCCACAGCAATCGCAGTCGCAACAGCAACCTCAGCCATTGCATACGCTAGCTAATCATCATCATCATCAACAGCAGCAGCAGCAGCAGCAACAGCAACAGACACAACTTACACAACCACATACACAGTTGTCGCACCCTCAACAGTTGCTGCAGCAAACGCATAGTGCACTCGCGAATCCGTTGCAGCAGCAACCAGCTGCCCTGCAACACACGCATAGTGGCGGACATAGCAGTAATCACGATTCGAATATGAGCACAGGATCATCGCATAGCGAAAAAGATGTTGCCGACATGTTAGGTGCAGCAGGCATTCCCAGTCAAATAGGTTTATTGTCCAATAACGGTGCCCCGGGGGCTATGATGAGCAACAGCGGTTTAGGTCAAGACGTAACAGGTATGATGGGAGGTGGCGCAGGCGTTAGCAGCAATCAGCAGCAACAAGTCCAGCATAACAATATGGTCGGCCGCCTTGAAAAGCCACCACGTACCCCAACAGAGCGAAAGCGTAAGCGGAAAGCTCCACACACTGAAGACAGTGGTGGAGGTGGAGGCGCAGGTGTTGGCGCAGGGAGTGGTGGAAGTGGAGGTAATAACGCTGGAAATGCGACTATAGTCGGCACCAGCAAGTCATCCAAAACCTCTACTTTGATCACAAGTGCACAGACACTCAACAAAGCCAATTTATCATTGAATATAGGTACACCAGCGGATCGCTGCAACTTGCCTGGCGGCAAAAATGCTCGACTACTTCAACATAGTAGCATCGATAACAAGAAAATCAATGAATACTTCAATAAGCACAATGTAACAACCAGCGGTGCCACAAACAGCCCAATGCGTCCGCACACGGGCGGCTCGAAGAGTCCATCGTCGGCTGGTGCCGGGCAACAGCAACAATCGGCTCAGCAGCAGCAAGTGCAAAGCGCAAGTAATGCCGGTGGTGGCGGCACTACGAACGCTTATGCTATGTATCCACCTAGTCCCCAACAAATGAATCCAGCAGGCGTGCAAACGCCTACATCGCAAGCGCCCCCAGAATTCCATCACTACTCCACTGTGGGTGTAAACAATGCTTCAAAACAGCAACGTCAATCACAACCACAAACTTCCAATGCAATGGTTCCTCCGCAGTCGGCAATAGTCGGCGTGTTGGCAGGCAGCATGAGTAGTTTAGGTGGTGGCGTGGTCGGCGGCCCACCACCACCGCCCATGGGTCCGGCGCAACAACAGCATATTCCCGCAACATCGGTTGTCACCTCGGCGCAACAGACCCTTACCAGTGGCGTAACCTCGCAGCAGCTGGCCGCTGTGCAGTTAAACTCACTGCAGCATGCCGGCATGATCCCGGGCACTTTGGGCGGCATGCAACCACCGCTGCCTCCAATACCCGCCAGCACCATAACAAAGGGCACGCAAACTGATCTCTCGTTCCTAGAGATAAAGGAGCGAGACACTGAGATCGAATCGAGCAAGTCGAAACTCGACGAGATGACAAGACTGTCTGATGAGCAGAAATGCCAGATAATCGCTCATCAGAAGCTGATCGACCAGCATAAGTCGCAGATCGCCAAGTGCATCGATGTCGTGAAGAAATTGCTTAAAGAAAAGAGCAGCATCGAAAAGAAGGAAGCGAGACAGAAGTGCATGCAAAACCGTTTGCGTCTAGGGCAGTTTGTGACGCAGCGCGTCGGCGCCACATTCCAGGAAAATTGGACAGACGGTTATGCTTTCCAAGAGCTTAGCCGGCGGCAAGAGGAGATTTCGGCTGAACGCGAAGAAATCGATCGTCAAAAAAAGCAGCTGATGAAAAAACGTCCTGCGGAATCAGGACGTAAACGCAACACAAATAGCAACAACAACCAGAATTCAAATTCTAATGATTCGACTAATGTAGCTGGTTGTGATCGTTTGACTGGCGGTAGCGACAGCGGCATCGCAACGACTGGTGGTGGCGGAGGTGTTGGTGGTGGTGGTGGCCGAGGTCTCTCGCGATCGAACTCTACGCAGGCCGGTCAAACACAATTGCTGCACAACGGTGGAGGCAGCGGTGTTGGCGGTAGCAGTGGTGTTGGTGATCGTCTCTCCGACAGAGGCGGCGGCGGCAGTAGTGGTGCTGGCCGCGGCGATAACAGCGGAGATGCAACGTTCCTTAAACCCGACCCCGTTTCAGGGGCATACACAGCGCAAGAGTACTACGAGTACGATGAAATATTGAAGTTGCGACAGAACGCGCTCAAGAAAGAAGACGCGGATTTGCAACTGGAGATGGAGAAGTTGGAGCGCGAGCGCAACTTACATATTCGCGAATTGAAGCGCATTTTAAACGAGGATCAGGTACGCTGCAATTTACTTGTTACATAAACAACAGCAAACTTTTCTAAAAATTTGAATCGAACGCAATTATTAACTTTTTGAAACTATTTTTTAGTCTCGCTTCAACAACCATCCAGTCTTAAATAATCGATACTTGTTGCTGATGTTACTGGGAAAAGGCGGTTTCTCCGAGGTACACAAAGCATTTGATCTAAAAGAGCAACGATATGTAGCATGTAAAGTTCACCAACTGAATAAGGATTGGAAGGAGGACAAGAAAGCCAACTATATTAAGTGAGTGTAAAAGTTGTTTGAAATATTCAAATATAACTATTGTTTTGTTCATAGGCATGCATTGCGAGAATACAATATACATAAGGCATTGGATCACCCCCGTGTAGTCAAGCTGTATGATGTGTTCGAGATAGACGCAAATTCTTTTTGCACAGTGCTCGAATATTGCGACGGTCATGATTTAGATTTCTATCTAAAACAGCATAAAACTATACCCGAACGTGAAGCGCGCTCGATTATTATGCAGGTATGTGGCAGGCTAAAAAAATATGAAATGTATTTTTTAAATCTATTTTCTACACATTTTACGTTTTAGGTTGTTTCGGCTCTGAAATATCTGAATGAGATTAAACCACCAGTAATACACTATGACCTGAAGCCAGGCAACATACTTTTGACAGAAGGTAATGTGTGTGGTGAAATTAAAATCACCGATTTTGGTCTATCAAAAGTGATGGATGATGAGAACTATAATCCAGATCATGGCATGGACTTGACTTCGCAAGGCGCGGGAACCTATTGGTGAGTATGTGTGGGGCAACAGACACAACCATTACAAAGTAAAATGGTTAATGTAGACCTACAGAATTTCGGCAGGGAGAAGGAAACAAAATTTTCGCTTAAAATGAGTGTATTCAAATCTGATTATCCATTTTTAGATTTTAATTTATTAGAACTCATTAAAAAAAATAAAAAAAATAAAAAATATAATATAAAAAATATTTATCATAAAGTGATCTGAATATAGAAATTAATATACATAATTATTTACCTTTAATGGCAATAATTCAAATTCCTATATTATATAGGTATAAGTAAACTAAAAAAATTAAAGCATGATACCAAGCCTTTGAAATTTAGTAGCAATTATCATTATTTACATTCCCCCAGGTACCTACCGCCCGAATGTTTCGTTGTTGGAAAAAATCCGCCAAAAATCTCATCGAAAGTCGATGTTTGGAGTGTCGGTGTTATTTTCTACCAATGTCTTTATGGCAAAAAACCTTTCGGCCATAACCAATCGCAGGCCACAATACTTGAAGAGAACACAATTCTTAAAGCTACAGAGGTGCAATTCTCCAACAAACCAACTGTCTCAAATGAAGCAAAGGTAAATTTTAAGATTCAAACATTCATAGCCAATGATTTATGCGAATAATTTTCTCCTTCTCTTTATTCAGAGTTTCATACGTGGCTGCTTGGCATATCGTAAAGAGGATCGCATGGATGTGTTTGCTTTGGCGCGACATGAATACATTCAGCCGCCCATGCCTAAGCATGGTCGCGGCCAATCGCAGATGACGCAACAGCAGCAGCAGCAACAACAGCAGCAGCAGCAACAACAACAGCAACAGCAGCAACAGTCGACCACATCACAGGCGAATTCCGCTGGGCAGACTTCTTTTTCGGCGGGTATGTTCGGTAATCTGAACCAGTCGAGCTCGTCCTAGCTGCAGACGAAACGTAACTCAAATTCCTAATTGCTGATGCTGATCGCGAATAATAGTAATAATAACAACAACAATAGCAGCAGTAACAACATCAATAGCAACAATTATTACACAAACCGAAATCGTAAATATCATTTGAACTACAGCAGCAGTAAAAACAATAGTCACCAACATAATCACCACAGCAGTTACAATAATAATTATTGTAATCAAAGTAATAGTGTTAGAGTGGCAACAGGCGACGAGTTGGTCGAATGTATGGAGACAACAGTGTTGGAGAATACCCAAATTTACATGTATGCGCACAAAAAAACTGAAACCGCAGAAACGTCAGCAGTCAATACAACAAGGATGGCACCGGGATTTTATAACGGTAATAACGATATACAGCCACAGTTACGTATTAAAAGAAAACGTCAATCGGTAGCGGTTGGCAGAGAAAGAGCAGTGGGAAATGCGCGCAACGGTAGCAACAGCACAATTCGTCAACTAATTAAAACATCGTCGCCGAGCAGACATCACCATCAGCTTCAACACTGCCGCAAACAAGACTTGTAAAGAAACAAGATAAACTGCAAAGAAAATACCAATGTTGCTGATGGCAAGTTATACTCGGAAAGCTGTTGCTGTTTTTGCTAATATTCTTATGCTTGACCAAGAGATATTCAGACATAGAGAAATTTACTATACTATATCGAGAAAATATGAAATGAACAATCGTGTTTGGAGGAATAAAATGTGATAATGTACTTGAATTTTTGGAATTCACATAATAATAATAGACCGACAATTTGCTAATGCCAAATTAGCAGCGCTAAAAGCCAATAAATGTTTTAGTAGATCGAAGAAAATGCGTCATACAAGGAGAGTATATTGAGTGCATGGATATTTTTGAATTCACATTTTTATTGAGTATATTATAGCATTTAATGTTTTTAGCGTTGTGGAATTTAGGAAAGCACATTTTTGCTCTACAGCTTAGTATTTCTTAATCGGCGCTATTTGAACCCGAAATGCACGCTATCAGAAGTACAACACTCAGTTGGCTTAAAAGCTGTCGTCAAAAATATATTGTTTGAATGCTATTTAAAAAATGCATGTTCATTTGCAGTTAATTTTCATTTAGTTGTGCTATTTTATTTTGGAAAAAAGCCTTGAAATGCCTTTGAAACGCCAATCGGTTCGCATTTTTGTTTTAGATTAGCTTATTAAGTTACTTTTTTTTAACTACAAATAAGAAGCAAAACGTTGTACAGTAATTTTATTTATTACTTAAATATTTGAAAATCAATATTCGTTAAAGCTTTTTGGTGCGCTTATTAAAAAGCCAGCCAGTCGCGGTTGATTTGATGCAAAACTCCTGGTCTTGTTGGTCAATAGTGTTGATCATTTTCATGCTGACAATTTTCGGTTCGAAATGTTAATACATGTTTTTTTTTTTCTATTTTTATGAGCAACATTTGATATCAATATACTTATATACGAAAATAGAAAGAAAAGGGACAAACAAGTAAAAATTCAAGTATAATTAAAGTATAAAGCTGAAATGAACCAATTGCGTTAATGTCTAGGCTAAGATCTGGAATACATGAATTTCAGCCCGAAATTGTATATTGTTTAGTTGAGCAAAGGCGAAAACTAAAGAAGAAAAATGTACCAATCATAAAGGCAAACAACAGGCACATCAGCAAAAAAAAAAAAACGCGACAGCAGCAGCAGCAGCAATAGCGGCGGCAATATAACAAGAACAACTTTTAGGAAACCAACAACACGTAAACGCGCACGCAAATTTAGGATTATCTCTATTTAGCATTAACTCGCATACATACATATATATAAATATATAAAAATCAACATAAGCATAAGCAAGATTGTAATGAGATATGTATACATATAGGAAGCGAGCGTGGGGTCGATGATAATAAAATATACATGATGCAAAAACTGCAACTAATAGTATCACAGAAGAAAAACAAAAAACTACTAAGCGTAAGTTAAAATGTAGGATTTTGTGAAAGCGTTGCGAAGCGCAGAAAAACGAATGCTCTAGATATGATAAAAACATATGTAAATGGCTGGCTAGCACTTTAGCCAGTGCGGAGCTGAACTGGCTGCAGCCCACATTTTATTATTAATATTATTATCATACAATTCTTAAAAACTATCTACTGATTAACAGATAACAACAAGCTAAAATTGTATGCTATGAGACATTATAAAGGAAAGGTATTCGCGTATGAGGAAAATATCTAAACAAACAAAAACATACATACATACAAAAATAGAATAAATAAATGCTTAAATATTGATATAATAATGGAAATTTAAAAAATTATAAAAATAGAAATCAAAACGAAAACAAAAACAAAAACTAAACTACCATTTAAAGTTAAACAAGCAACAAGAATATTTATAGTTTTAGTTATTAATACAATTATTATTAAATACTAATAATAGTGCATTAGAATAAACAACTGCAAATGCAAAAACAACATAAACAAGCAGGCGTTAAAAAGTATATAAGTATGCAAGTATGTATGTAATAAAGAAGTGTAGAAGAAAAAATAAAATAAAATAAACTTATCTATAAATGTATAATATAATGAAAACAAAAAAAAAACATGCAAGCGTTATAATTTGATAACTAAAGATATATATCTGAAGGTGCGAACAACAACAACAAGAACAGCCACGGCAGCAGCAAGCAGGCAGTTGCAATGAGCCGTTTTAAAACTAAAACAAAGCAAAGCAAAGCGCAGGCGGTGGTGTATATACATTGTTAGTTATGTGCACATACATACATCATACCTAACAAAGCCAATGGTTGTTTGTTAATATCATTTAGCTTTTACTTTGTTTAACATTACGCATTTTATGCGGCATAGTTATTTGCTTATACGTATACCGAGGTACTTACATACATATGTTTTTACCTGGATTTTCTTTTGGCGGCGCAGCGCAAAACTAGTTTCTGGCTCATGCGCAATTTTTTTATTTGTTCTTTCCTTGTTCGCAATTAAAAACCGGATTCGTGTAGGACTTTATGTATGCATATACATACACATACATACCCACTAAGCTAGAATTTACTTGTCCGGCGTTTTTGGCGCATTAGCGTGAACTTCTTCCTGCTGAATCGGAAAGAGCGATTTGTATACAATGGCGATTTTTTTGCTTGCTTCAGAGTTGCTGCTTTTGTTTCTTCCTTCTGATGTTACCTTTGAAGTTGGTGGTGTTTTTTACGTACTTCGGTTAAATTGAGTATGGGTATGTCGGTATGTTTGATTGCAAACTTTTCATTGCTTCGACGTTTTGTTAATGCCCTTTGGATTGATGTTTTTAAAAATATATTCGCATGGGTCGATTGCGGATGGCATTGAACTACAGTCCATCGGCTACCCATCATCGACCGTTTAGTAAATCAACTTTTTCTTTAAAAATAAATTTTTTTATCACCGGTAAATTAATTTTTTTTTTCCGTTGTATTAACTTCCAAATATTTTTTGGGGGGCCTTTTTTTGAATTTTTTTTGGTTTCCCGTTTTTTTTTTTTGGTAATTGATTGTTCCAATTACATTATTTCTTTTATTTGCTCATTCGGGAGCGAAATTCGATTAAAAAAATTAATTTGTATGCCATTTTTCTACGTTTTTTATATTTTTATTGATTATTAAATTATATTTTTCTATTGAAATTTTTGGTCTTTTGCTGTTTTGATTTATTATTTGGCTTTTTTATTTTACCTTTGCATTGTATACTCACTTATTCTGACTTTATTAAAACACATTTTCTAACTGCAACTTCCGTCAATAATTCTCACAACGTTAAAAACACCCAAAAAAACCGAATAGTTGTGCGCTTGAAATGCTTAAAAAAAAATAAACTGATTATATTCTTACAGCTAAGTTATGTAGACAGCTTTTAAATGCATGGGATAGAAAAAGCTGAAATAAATATTTGTTGAGTATTTTACTATTATTAATATTATTATTACTATTATACGATATTAATTAATAAAGTGAGCTGAATGTGGTGGCGCAGATAGTAAGCAGTGAATAAAGTTAATTAAATAAAAATAAAAAAATGCATATAAATAATATAATATCAAATTTAACTTAAAATAGTTATTAATTAATATTTAAAAATTAAAATAATTAAAAAATTGCATTAAGTATGTGGGTAAAAATATGAAATATTCTGAGAAAAAATAAACCTACGTACACACATACAATATATACAATGAAAGCAAATAGATTTAATTATTAAAAAAGAAAAATGAAATTCGATAAACATTGCAGCAACAAACTTCACACTCCAATCGCAAATACACACACACACACACGCACACATAGCCAACAACGGGCTTGTTTGAGTTGCAATCACAACCGCAGTGTTGCGCGAATTATTTAAATGTTGCAAATTGTCATCAGTGCGGCAGTAATGCCGTTTTTATGACGTGCCTCGAACAGGCCCAACTTCTGACATATGTACATGCATACACACTTTCACACGCCCACATTCACTTACATTCAAAGAAATTACGCTAGTGTTCAATACACTCAATTAAAAGAAAAGAGAAAACTATATATCCATAATTAAAAAAAAAATATATATATACATATATAATAATAATTAACTACAATAAATTTATGTACGTATTAGGCATTTGCGAATGTAATGTATGAATGAAACAGCAAACACGGAAGCAACAAACAAACAAAAATGTAGATATACGCATGTCACGTTCAACTAAATGCAAATCTCACACTTTAGTACAGTAACTTGAAAGGTGAGCAGAAATGCAGGCAAAAAAAGTTATGTTATAAACAAACAGAAACGATGAAAAAAAACAACAATAGGTTTTAACAACTACGAAATTATAAAATATTTAATCGCTAGAAAACAGTAAATAAATTACAACAAAACAAATATGCATAAAACCCAAACAACAAAGTTAAAGAAATATGCAAAAATAAAACATTAAACATTTTATTTCAAAAAAGAAAAAAAATTCCAAAAAAAAATTCGAAGCATTTTTATTTCTATTTACATACATATATTTCTTTGAGATTCGCTGCATTCCCCTCTTTGTTTTATACTTATTAACGCTTGAAACGCTAAAATGTTGCATTGCTCTTTTTGTTTTTCAGCTAAAACGGTGTTCATATGAGGCGATTTTACAGGCAATTTTGGAGGCGATTAGTTGAATTCAAAGTTGGCTTTCTCCGAACTTCAACTAAAAGTTGCCTGTAAAATCGCCTCATGTAAACACCGCATAAGTGATTAAACGTTTTGGGTTCTGATGCATTTGATATTCGAAATTCAGTACTTCTGTATGATTGTATATGTGTTTTCATGACTCCGATTTCTTAGATTTCAGTCAGACGAAATTCTTACTTTTGTGAAACGAACAATGGTTTTATTATTATGCTGACTACACACGGGGCAACCGTTGATGCAAAAATTTACAGAATTTTCTATCTCATTTGGTACCCATATTGCTGTTCTCCATTGCATTGATTTTTTATGATAATTTTTTGCATTAATAATATCTTTAAA